GGGAAGATGTATAGGCTTAAACTTTCAGTTTGTAAAAGCTAGGAGGGATGGGTGGGACGTGTGTGTGTGTGTCATCGTGGGGGTAAACTATTGTGACCCTAAGAATGGCCTGAGTGTGTGTGATCGTCGACGTGCCGACTTTGGCCTTGAAGTCTTTCTTGGGGCACCACGCTTTAAATACGAGGGGTGGGGAGGAGTTAAGCCACCCATAATAGGGAGCTGGTTGGCTGCGGTTAGATGTTGGGATCAGCAGACGTTATCCTCTTTCTAAATGGATTTCACTGGCATAAGGGGCTGAGCCCCCTCTCCCTCTGACCCTAATTATAACCATGAGAGAGCAGGGATTTGAAGAAAAGGGGGAGGAGGAAGAGGGGAGGGAGTTTCTTTGAGCCACATCTTCATGGGGAAACACCTGCAGGATCTTACCAACTTCAAGCCTTTATTTTTAGAAGCACTGGAATTGTTTCAGCTAGCCTCTCGCTCAATGGACAGATCTATCTTTTGTACAATTAACACCAATACAAACAACATACTTGCAGTGTAGTTATGTTTAATGGTTATAAAATCTGGGCTATCGTTACGTAAAAATAAAAATAGTATTATTTTGTACATATTCAAATGTAGGTTACTTGAAACTGACAGCCAAACCTAGGATACCATTGTCTGTCACCTGTTTAACTTCCAGGCCACAAGTCTCCTTTATTGTTAGTGACAGGTTCTCCTCTTGGCAAGCGCTGTTTCCCAGTGTGCCGTTGTTCTTGTCAAGTAAAAGGCTTCCTGCCTCCTCTACCCACACCCTGACCCAGCCAGGGACCCTCCTGCTGAATGCCTCCATATTGTTGATTTAGTCTATTGTGATGCTAATGTCAGCCTGAGACCCCTGAGTCATCTATCAGGGATGACAGGGAAGTCAGGCCTATTGTCTGAACCTGCTACTCCATCCACATAGAGAGAGAGGCTGGCCTCTGGCCCACACTGCATTCTGGGACAGGAAGGCCAATGGAAAAGGATCAATGCCGTTCTTACTCTGCCTAGACAGGAAAACTGTCTAGCCATTTACAAGCATTCATGTAATCAACACTTACATAGATGCCTGTCTCTGTGTCTCTCTGTGTCTCTCTGTGTCTCTCTGTGTCTCTCTGTGTGTGTGTGTGTGTGTGTGTGTGAGTGTGTGAGTGAGTGAGTGAGTGAGTGAGGGAGAGAGAGAGAGAGAGAGAGAGAGAGAGAGAGAGAGAGATAGAGAGAGAGAGAGAGAGAGAGAGAGAGAGAGAGAGAGAGAGAGAGAGAGAGAGAGAGAGAGAGAGAGAGAGAGAGAGAGAGAGAGAGAGAGAGAGAGAGAAAACAAGGAAGCACTTTCTCTGGTTTGAGAAGTCCCCTGTAGTGCTCCTTGACTAACAAATGAATGTTTTCAGACAGGAGAATTTGTAATAGGTGCTTTACCCAGTAGTCCTTCCAACATCACAAGGTTCTAAATATTGGGTTGAGATAATGACTGAGGAGTGCCCTAACATCTTACAGCATGTTAAGCTTTCACAGGTCTAATTCAGGTTAAGCCTGGGCGAAATCACATTGGTGGTTCCTTTTGGGCTTTGACAAGTGACACTTGAATGATAGATATGTTTGGTGGGGCGGGGCTTGTGGGCGAGAGGTTGCCCCCTGTGCTGTCCAAGGCGTGTCCTGTGCTCCTACTAAGAGGAGAGAGTTAAAACCACATGAGCGAGCGCTCCGCTGGCTGCCATGGAGCCAGGCCCAGCACAGTCTCAACATCCATTGACATCATCGCCCACCGCCGGACCAGATGTGACTGTGGTTGTGCCTGCATTAAACAAAAGTGCTGCTACAGGAAATGAGCGCCTTTAAAAGCAGGAGGAAAAAAGACTTCAGCAAAGCGTTGTTATTACCACTCAAAGGATGTAACCAAGGCAGTTAAAATGTTTATTACACCATAACCTAAATTATCCCAATGTTTATCATATGCGGGTGCATGGCTTTGGGGCCTATTCAGATCGAATCATCTTTTCATTGATACGCCAGTGGAGATGCTAAGGATGGGTGCATGATCAATGGCAGATTTATGCACATCAAGCTCACTCATACTTATATAATTGACCAGCTCACCCTTTGGAGATATTTATCATCACTGCCATGGGTGAGAACATGTGTGTCTGGGCTGAGTTCAAGTTCTGGAGGGTCAGCTCCATTTTAGAGCGAAATTAAGCTCTCATACCATATGTATTCAGTGGATATTATGGCCACATGACCCAGGCTATTGGTTCCATCTCATTCACTTCTTCAGATGAGGCTCTAGCACTGCTGTTCCCCTGGCAGGTGACAATAGTCAGACCACAGCACCACCTGTCTTCCCCTGGTGTCACTCACCACTCATAAGTAGCAGGATACTTTAGAATACGGGCTGGAGCAGAAGGACATAAGTAGCAGGATACTTTAGAATACGGGCTGGAGCAGAAGGACATAAGTAGCAGGATACTTTAGAATACGGGCTGGAGCAGAAGGACATAAGTAGCAGGATACTTTAGAATACGGGCTGGAGCAGAAGGACATAAGTAGCAGGATACTTTAGAATATGGGCTGGAGCAGAAGGACATAAGTAGCAGGATACTTTAGAATACGGGCTGGAGCAGAAGGACATGTGGCCTACACATGTAGGATGACCTAACTTCAACTCAAACATCAATATACTGTATCTCCTGCAAGATTCAGCTTTTCTCTCCTTTCCATAGAGCAGCTAATGATGGAAGTTTTGTTAGCAGTGATTCGTTTGAATACAGAGACAGTAATGTGAGGAGAACGGAAGAGGAGAGCGAGTCAAGACATATAAATGATGAGAAGGGCTTACCAAAAAAAACGTCCAAAAGGACTCAAGGAGTTGGAGCACTCAACAAAAAAAGCAGAGATTGATTTGTTTTAGCTCACTTTAATGCATTGTACAGGATGCGAACAGGTGACTGACGTTTCGACGTCAAGCTGACGTCTTCCTCAGAGTTACCTGACCATTGCACTTAGCTCCTATTCATAGCCTAGTGGCCCATTGAGACAACAATGTAAGAACATAATAATGCTAATATGTTTCAAGGTAAATGGCAAATTATAGTACAAAATAATAATAATAATAATAATAATAAGATAAATAGTGTGTCTGGTTAATCAATAGGCCATGTAAAAATATACATAGGAGATATTTGGGTGTCTGTGAATCCGGAGACACAGAGACCCCCAAAATCAAGGCAACACCATTATAGAAACAAGGACGTTTTTCTTGTTAAGCCCTTCTCATGATTTGTCATTGTCGTTGAGCACGCCACCTTTCCTTTGTTTGCTGAAGCGAAGGCCCACCTGAACTCTTACATGTAAATGAAGTTTCAAAAAATCCTATCGCAGTGGGGATTTTTGAAACGTTGAGAAAGACTCTATAAAGTTCAGAGTTAATTATTGCTAAAGAGGGAATCAAACTGAGTAATGCTAATGTTACTCAAAGAAGTGTGATGGAACATTGTCAGAATACGCCTAGGGAAAGTGGAGGAGTTGTAAATAAACTGGGAGTCTGTTTTGTTTTTTGGCAGCAGACTCCAGCAGCACCAGAGGGGGTATGAGTGGGGTGGGGAGGGGTAGAGGCAGGGTGGGGGGCACAGCAGCTGTGTAAACCCCAACTGTCCAGGGAGGGATAGAGCGAGGGGGGGACTTTCCAGTCAGGCCAGTTAACCTCATAGACTACTGCGGTCTCACTGAAAAACATGGTCTTCTTTTTACAGTTTAATGGTGGAATGTGCTACAATAACTACATACCATAGATGTTTAAAACCATGAAAGAAGTTGTGCTGCTGTATGAACCATGACAGCTAATAGGCCTAAGCAGCAGGTCATCCACAAAATGTTGAATTGAAACATTATCCTATTAAAAGTGTTTGTGCAACCTTACCGTCCGGCAAACATTACCGGAGCATTGGCTCTCGGACCAACAGGCTTCGAGACGGCTTCTACCCCCAAGCCATAAGACTGCTAAATAGCCATAAGACTGCTAAACAGTTAATTAATGGTTACCCGGACTATCTGCACTGACCCTATCTTGCACTGAATCTATGCACACTCACAACACTATATATACACACTATATACACACACTACACTGACACTTTCACAGAAAACCCACATGCATTCACATACACACACACACACACACTTTTACACTCATCATATGCTGCTGCTACTCTGTTCTTTATTTTACTCTTATTATTATCTATCCTGCTGCCTAGTCACTTTACCCTGCCTTCATGTACATATCTACCTCAAATACCTCATCTGGTACTGGTACTCCCTGTATATAGCTCCATTCTTGTGTATTTTATTCCTTTTGTGTTACTATTTTTCTTTTTATGATTATTTTGTAACTCTGCATCGTTGGGAAGGGCTTGTAAGCAAGCATTTCACGGCTAAGTCTACACCCGTTGTATTCGGCTCATGTGACAAATAACATTTGATTTGATTCTATTTTTTATTGCAGGGGCAGAAAAAGTGTATTCCTGTGGTCAGGCTTGAGTGGACTGTGACTTAATTCTTTACTACTATTGTAACACAACCAACAGAGCTAGGGACCATGGTGAGGCTGTCCCAGGATCCTCCCAAGGAGGAAGGATGCTAAGGTCCAAATTAGATGTCTGACTGAATGAAGAATCAGCTGCTGGGGGACAACCCCAGGAAGAGTGGACCCACTGGCTCTTGTGGTGCTGTGGTTTGAGTGCCATTGATATGGCCCCAAGACCTTCAGGGTCATTGAGATTCAGAGGAAAGCATTCTTACCAGGGGAAGGAATACACAGAGCATGCCTAGCAACATGACTCTACTCTGGGGGTCACACCATAAATATCTAATCCTTTTCCTGCTGCTTTGAGTGACAACAAGAACCCTCCTTCAAGAGTCACTTTCCCTGTCTTCCTCCAGTGAGGCACAACTATCCACCCGTCAACCTGAGTGAAAATTAAATCATGTTTCCTTACGATGTTCCCAACTCCCAAAGATTGAGAGCTTCCCCCTCAGCCATTCCATTCCAGCGCTCTGTAACTCAGGCGGATGCCCAGGGCATCATCTGTTACGATGCAGGGTCTCTTTTGCCCAGCGGGAAACTTCTGGAGGGAATGCGTGAGGAGATGCAGAGAGGCCAGGCCAGCGTAACAGTCTGGTCTTGCCTTGGGAGAAGGTGTTAACCAATGTGTTGACAGACAGTGGAGTAAAACAGGGGAGCTGTGCAGTGCTGGAATGAGAGGTCACAGGCTGCTGCTTCAGTGTCTTTAGGGGTAATAATTCAACCCAGTCGTATACCTCACTAAATAAGATGAACAGCTCATGTCAGCTCTGACTCTTACCTCCCACAGAGTTGAAATAATAATGTGTGATGAAGCAGAGCTGGGACCCTGATGTTCATGCGGAGGAAAGGTTCTATCTTTTCACCCCCCTCAATGCTATTGGTTCTCACTGTTTAGGGCATAATGATCTGTTGATTCTTATTGAAATAATCTGTCAATCTGTTTTGAATTTATTGTTCTCATTTGTATGAATTTAATTACTTCTTTCACTTTAGTAAAGTCAAAACGTTCATGACATCGAAAAGCTTGTTTGATCCAATGACAATTGTTTCCAATTATGTAATGTGCTTTTAAAAGAGGAAATTAAAAACCCAAACATTTACTTGAAACCAACTGTACTTGAAAAGTGTGAATGAAAAGTAAAGAGAGAGAGGGAGGAAGAAAGTAATGTGGCACTGCTTAGGTTCCAGTAAAATGAAAAGGCCTGACTTTAAAATGTTGAATTAGAACTCTCAACAGGGGTAACTGCTCTACCGCCACGACTCCAGGCACTGTGCCACATCTCCCTGAGGAAAACACAAGTGTTGATTAGTTTATGGGAGACACAGTACTGCCCCTTAGAAACTTTTTGTGTAGGGGGAGGGTGGTTGAATAAAGTGGATTCAGAGTCCTGAATGTGGCCAGTTGCTTTTTTTTTGCAAATGTTGTTTTGCAGTGGAAACACAGGAAAGAAAGCATGCTCGCCAAAACCCGCTGAGCAGTCTTTTTTTCAGCCTGGTGAAAAAAAATGAATTATTCAGCAATAAGCATTTGTGAGCTTTGATCTAGGAATCAGGTGTCTGCATGAATGCCCTTATTGTCATGTTATGTGTACACAGTGTGTGAATTATTGAAAACAGCGCGGCCCCCAGCTTCATCTGGTAGAGATTACAGTGCAGGCACGCTGGGTGGCCCGGCCGCGATTGAAATCCCCAGATGATGTTTATTTGTCCAGGGGAAGGAGACCTGGTTCAGTCACCCTGGCCTTACCTAAATGCTCCTTGTGAGGAGGTGAGACTTGGGTCACAACTCTCGCCACACCCCTCCTCATGGTGCCCCGCCTACAACAATCCCCAGCCCCCGTCACATAGCAGAGCAACACCTGTCTGGGTGTGGCAGACACATGGAGCAAGGTGTTGCGCTACACAAAATGTGTTTACTTAATTTCTTCCGTTTTTTCACTGTGTTGATTTAAATTTGCTATTTTGAAAAGGCACTGGTAAATCTGCTACATCAGGGTGTCTTCTTTCAAAAGAAACTGAACATTTGAAATGCTTATATATAGAGCCAGTAGTGAAACTAGGGGCTAATACATTTTATAAAATAGTGAAAGCAAACATCTTGGCATCCAAACCCCTCTGGCATCCAAGAATAAGACTGAGGGAGAAAGCGAGAGAGAGCGAGAGAGAGAGAGAGAGTGAGAGAGAGAGAGAGAGAGAGAGAGAGAGAGAGAGAAAAAAAAACACCCCCTCGCCAGGTGTTGTTAATGGCAGTAACTCAAGGGGCAATACCCAGACTGGCCCTCCTTTCATCTGACACACCTGAACAGAGCACTGGGTTCACAACAGGTGGAGGCTTCAGCCTGGCTGCCTCGGTGTGACACTACACAAACAACAGGCAGCACATACATCTCCAGCCTAACAACCCAGACCTGCCTGCCATCGCCTCAATAACCACCTCCACTACGCTTGTTCTATACTTCACTTTATTCACCATCCTCATGTGCAGCATCTGCATTAGGTGGTCCATCCACTGCCTTTCACAGGAAATGTTGTAGTTTTTCTATTCTGAGAACACAGTCGCTGCTCCGTAGCAAATGTACCGTTGTATATTGATGATGCTAAGTGAAATATCAAGACAAGGCCATTAATTGAGCTGGAGAAAAAAAGCTGGTTTAGTTGTTTAAAGGACGTGTTGCATTACATGGGAGAGAGAAGTAGGTCCATGGCATTAGTTGCCTTCAGCTGGACACATCATTAGAGTGGCTCCTTACCTATAATTTGTGTAATAGTTTTAGGGGTGGCAGTATATTATTACCATATGAAAAGGCTAATCCGGGGTCAGTGTGCCTCGCTGCAGCAATAAGAGGCGAGCTGAGGGCAGAAGAATGTTTAGAGCTGCCATTAATTGGAAATCACTACAAAGCCCATGCTTTAATTATCATTTAGAGAACAACACTGCTTAAATTAATATATTTCCTTTGCCATTATTTACAGTAACAGTATGAATGTCTGGATCTGTTTCCTTTCATATCGTGAGGCTTTGAAGAGAATGGGATTAAATTAGATGAATTTGAAAGGCTGTATGCTTGTTGTAAGGCTTTCTCATGCTAATGAAACATGCCGCTTTTACATTTAAATGGGATTTTTGTTTGTTTGTTTGTCGAGATATATATAGTGAGATGTAAATGTCTGATGATTATACAGTATGATGCATATTTGACTATTGTGTGCTTTATTTGTGTCATTGTAAATTGAAAGGAGCACACTGAAGTCCAGGATCTCAATGATGGTTTATTTTGTGCTAACCTTTCTCTCTCCTTTCTGTGTGCTTTCTGCAGGTCGGAATGAGCTGATAGCCCGATACATCAAGCTACGGACTGGTAAGACGAGGACAAGGAAGCAGGTAAGAGGGGAGCGGATATGTTTGCATGGCATGTTAAACTGAAGAAGGCCATCACACCTGAATGTGACTACTGCCTGTGCTTCTGCTGGAGAGAACACAGGGCACACTCACACACACACTCACACACACTCACAGTTGCATGGAGCTTTGCTGCCTGCTTTGTCTGATGGGAGGCTGTCTTACCATACCCTGGATGTGTTCAGTCTTCTTACAGTTATCCTGCAAAAGCTCTCACACACACACACACACAAACACACACACTGACTTGGACACCCTCACATTACAGTAACGCAACTATAAGACCATCGTTCCGTCTGGAAGAGTGTGTTATAAGAGGGCTACATTACTCAATATTTGTTGTAAAAAATGTATTTAGTGTTTTTAAATAATCACAACAGAAACTGGATTAGGACATGGATGATAGGACATTGATTAATACCAACATAATTTTTGTCTGTTAGAAGTTTCCAGTTGATGTAAGACACAGACTGTAGATATAAATAGAGGTTGTCTATAAGCTCCCATAATATCAGTTGGTGGGAAGCTGTCTGGCCATGTGGTCCATCAGTCTGGTTGAGCAGGAAGTCATGCTCATGACCACTGGCTCGTATGTCCATGATAAACACCCCTGTGTCCAGACTGGCACTCTATAGCTGGGTGGGAAATTGATCAGCCAGCTAAAGAAAGGTAATGTGTGCTATGTCTCTGTAATTCACTCTCTCAATGGGGAATCACACAAGATAGAGGGTTGTTTTCCTGCTGTAATAGAATTTATGATACAACCAAAACACACAACTATTTTATATTTAATGATTGAAGTGATGAGATGTTAAGAAATCAGTCTCAATCAGAAATCATTGTAATTTATTTGAGTTAATTAACTCAATTAACTAAATTAAAATATTATGATTACTTCCACATTCACTGTTCTAACTAAAGAGCTCTGTTCTGTATGTGAGACTAAAGCAAACAATATCAGGAAAATGGTTGATTAAAATAAGGAATGTCAGATTGAATTTTAATTGTAATCTTATTTTGGTGAGCTGGAACGGAGTACTTCACACTTCCCCATCACCCTGCTCTCCCTATTAACAGACATGCTTTTAGGCGTTGATCATTCCCCGGTGAACTGCCTCAACAGCCACTTGTGTGTGATTGGCCTGATTAAGACCGAGAGCAGAGAAGGAAATCCCCCTCAGACCAAGCGTTCGTCTCTCCCCCCATCAGAAATACAGACTGACCACACATTATCTTACTATAGCCAACCATTTACACTACTGAATATTTTATACAAAAGCATTACATATTTCCAAGTCTGTCTGAATGTTGAAAGCAGCATGGGCCTCTGAAACGCCTTATCCGGCTCCCTTAAGAATACAAGACTGGCCGATTCTCATTCAATACACAGTCGATCACATCTGCGCCCTGTTAATGTGTGCTAAAGAGGCCTGCATCCTTCTTAATCAGCTCACTTAAGTGACAACAACAGGCAACACAATGCTTTGTGGCTGTGAGCTTGGTGTGTGGCTTGGAGATGCTTCTATTATCCTATTGGGCAGCTCAAATCCCCCTGAAGTGTTCTCAACAAAGAGATGTGTAATCCTTTTTGTATTTTTGGTTTTCTTGTTTTTTTTCTCCCTTCTTTTGTTTAAAAAAATGGAGGTGTCTAGTCACATACAGGTCTTAGCAAGAAAGAAAGTTCGAGAAATCTCAGCTGCCATCAAGGTACGTCTGGCTTTGCCCAGTTGCAGGGGGGCTTTTCATCGCCATGGTTACAGGCTGTTCCTTTGTTTTCCTCCCCTCTCCTACCCCGCAGGTGTCTAGTCACATTCAGGTTCTTGCCAGAAGGAAATCTCGTGAGTTTCATTCCAAGCTAAAGGTATGCGCTTTTCTGCTTTTGGGCTTGTGGTTGCTGTGCGTCGTCTTACTTCCTGTTTCCCGTGGTGACAGAGTGAATGCCTGACGCTCTGATTCCCGTAGCCTAGATCCCCTGCTTATGATTAGAATTCATAAAATAACCCCCCCCCCCCCCCCACACACACACACACACACACACACACACACACACACAAAGTGTTTTATTTCTATTTTCTTTATTGTCATTGAACAATAAGTGCATTTGCTTTGAAAACAATTGTAAGGATCTGTTTAAATACTTAAGAAATTTATTTTACGTTTGTGAAAAATATACAATATAGTTATTACTAGTGTCCGTAATGCAAGTCTGAAAATAGCAAAGTGTTAGATATAATGTGAATGAGAAATTCAATATTCTCATGAGAGCAAGGCTCGCAAATATTCTAAATCTGTTCCACAGAGCTCAGAGTGGACACGCTCAAAAAGAGCTTAAAGAATTTCACTTTCTTCTGTAATTTTTGCCAAGAAAAATATGTTAATGTTAGCCCAGACATCCTAAAGGCAATGTCAGCATTTTCTACAGTTAAATGAAAATGAGCCCAACCACGTTGGATCCTTCTAAAACCCTCAAAGCAAATGCACTCATAGTTCGTAGACTTTGTTGCTCCTTTCTTTCTGTTTGGCATGACAATGTGAACCAGAATCAGAGGTTGGTACTGGTGTTATCTGTACTGTATGTGGGAAAGCATGTTGGCAAGATGCATTGGCTGTTGGTGAGTGGCTGAGAGCTGGAGTTCAGAGGTCATCAGCAGAAGTCTGTTTACATGTCATAAGCAGACACAGTATCAGCCACTGATGTGCTGCATGTTAAAAGGGTTTAGGTTCAAAGACTAAGGGTGGTCTATGAAAAAACCTTTGCCTCTTTATTTTGCTGTTTTAACCTAATCATCTTCCCCTGTCAGTGCTGAGTTAAGACCATGAGGAAGCAGCATCTCATCTGCCCTCTCTGCTGTTGCGCACTCCCTCCATATTGATAACTCTAAGCTATCACATTGACATGGCTATCAGTTGCCTTCCTTTCTCTGTGTGTAGCTGTCCTATTACATTCTTCCTCTGTGACTCATTTTACCAATAGTAATGTGTTGAAAATCATGGGCTAACACCAAATATACCCTTTCCAAAATGTCTTCTGAAAAATTTTTTATTGTGAAAGGTGTAATCTTGTAATAAATGTACCTGTAATTCAAAGCATTTTTACAAGGGTCATTTGGTAATGTATGTGTGTTTAAAGACCTTAAGGGTTGCCAGATTTCTTTCTTTCTTATCTTTATGAGGGGATGACTACATCTTTTGACTTTCACACGTTTCCCCTGTTCCCAGTGTTCAGATGGATTAATGACCCCTCATTAGTGTGTGTGTGTGTGTGTGTGTGTGTGTGTGTGTGAGTGAGTGAGTGAGTATCAGCCAGCTGTGAATGCCTGGTCTTTCAGGCACAGTGCGGCTGTCTGAGTTAAAACAGCCATCTTTTGTATGGGTCTCTGTCTACTCTCATCTAAAGCAAATTAGAGATCAGCAGCAAAGAGAAAGGCATGCGCCCCCCTCCATTTACAGGGAACATCGCTGTAAATCTGCTCTGTCTCTTTTCTTATCTGAAACATGTTGAGTGAAATGACAGTCATTATGGTGCCATTCTCTGTGCTACTTCTCTCAAACCATAGCTGACCATAGTGATCAAATCCTCAGACATTCCAAGTCCACCACATTCTCCAAAATGTCCCACCCCACATTATTATTCATTGACGTATCCAAGTTTCAATGTGACAGCAGTGCTAGTTGATTAATTACTCTTGAGGTTCCTGTACCGACACTTTCTTTCAGTGTAATGTTTTGACAGAGGACATGGCATAAATACTTGAAACTGCAGTTTTATTTGAATACACATTTGAATATTTTATACCATTTAACAATGGTATTTTGTCAGTCCGGGTTTTCAAAAATGTTTGTTATGACCAAAGGATATTATATATATGATTCAATTGAAATCATATACTTTTACAAGCATTATGTGAAATTTGATTAATCAAATCGGATTAACTGAAACCTTCATTGTCAAATTGATTGAAGTGATTTCTATAAATGCTCTTTGTTATCAAGGTATTGTGTGTTGGGTCATTGAAATCAAAATGCTTATTGATAAAACATAAATTGTTACATCTTGCTATTGCAGGATTGTTGTCCAGAGGGATTATAAAATTACAATAAAACCTTGTTTGTTTGCATTCAGGTTACAAGCATGGTAAGTATCAATTATCCGCCCAAGCTCCTGGCTCTGCTCTTGCCAGACCTGTCAGCTGGTTGAGTATCTTTGCTTCTGCTATAGTACCATAGCTGCTGCTGCAGCCCAGTGACTGTCTAGTCTGTGGGCCTCTATCATAGCTTCACACCACTCCACCTACAGATACTGTACAGCTCTTGCCAGCATGCTGACCCTCAGCTTCTGCATGTGTTCTCATGGGGATCCTAGTTCTGTAGGGATGGGTCAGAAGTCATACTGTATACTGCTAAGTACTCTACTTGTGTTGGGATAAGAAACGACATTTCTGTGTGTTTGTGCTGCTGCTGCGTTAACACCCAGTAGAAAAGGAATGCAATAGATAGGGTTTAGCTGGATGGTATACAGTAGACCTCTGAGTGGAACTGATGCAAGGGAGTATTTCTCCACCATTCCCTCAGACACTAACTCCCTACTCCTGCTATCGATTCATTAAATCTTTCTTGATATCAACATTACATTTCTGATATGCAAAGGCTGAGAGTAGTCCTCATGTACTGTATTGAGCTGAAGCCTTTCTCATAAGGAGAAGAGTGGAGGGATGTAGTGAGAGGAGCCATGAAAGGAACTCTTAACCAAAGCTTTCGTCCTTCTGACTTACTTTAGTAATTCTCTTTGTATGGTTAACTGTGTTCTGGCAGGCAGACAAATCCATCCTTGACATAAGAACTATTGAATTATGTTATATTCAAGGAATAGCAGAGAAAGGATTTATTATTACTCACTCCAATATATTACCTATTCTATATGGTAGGAAGTGTGTTAGTGATAGATTAGTCATCGAGGAAACTTGCTTTTATTAAGTGAATACCCACACTTACCATTTTATACAGTAATTCAATTCTCACTTTACTCTGTGGCACATTCCTTTGAAACAATCCACTTCTTTAATGGCTGCCACAATATGTTTGCTTTTAACATGCATGCTGTCCGTCATTGTTGGAGGCGATGATGTGTGTTTAGAAGCGTGGCTGTTGTTATTACTGTTCTATGTCCCCCATCTTGCCCTCTGTGAGTGCTAAGCCTTTTGTGACTGCCGTTGAAGGATCAGACCGTGAAGGACAAAGCCCTCCAGAGCATGGCCTCCATGTCCTCGGCTCAGATCGTCTCTGCCACTGCCATCCACAACAAACTGGGCCTGCCAGGCATCCCGCGCCCAGCCTTCCCCGGAGCGGCAGGGGTAAGAGGCCTGCCGGCAACTCACTATCGGTCCACTCAGACCAACACACCACAGCGCCAACACAGCTGACGTCCCATCCAAATCACATTACACACATTAGGGCTTTATGGAAACTGACCACATCTGATAAGCACACAATCAAAACAAATGCTAGTCGAGATAACTACATGTATTAATTGTGCTGCTTGGAAGTATTTTTTTGGGATTTGTGTTTGGATGTTTTGTTGTGCATTGATTTATCTAATTCTCTAGTTTTGGCAGGGCATGATATCGACAGCCCAACCTGGATCATCACAAGAGTGAGTATCGTGTTCTATTCTCAGAAAACATGCAACGTGACTGTTTTCTGTTTCTCTCCCCCTCTCTGTTTCTCTCTGTCACCCTCTTGCTGTTCCTCTCACTCTCTCCATCACTGTCGCTCTCCTTGTCACGTACTCGCCAATATTTTCTTTGTGGGTTGCAGCAGTTGAAGGATCTATATGTTCCAGAGATACAAATACTCGTACAAATACTTCAGTCAGCCTTCTTTCTTCCTCACTGTTTGTCAGTAGTAATATGTTCAATATGTTGCTCTGTAGAAGTTCCAGACCATTGCATTTTTCTAATGGGCTCCTCCCTCTGTTTTAGCATCAAGCCGTTCACCCAACAAGCATATCCCATCCAGCCGGCAGTAACAACAACGATTTCAAGTAAGGCTTTCACTCATGCTTACAACCAATTTCCTTTTTCCTAAATTTGTCTTAATAAGTAGACCTATAGCGTTGTTTAAAATCAGACATTATAATAAGTTATGGAGATAAAACTCAATTTGATGATATCTCAGAGAGAGAGTTGTGTCATCTGAGTGTTACTCATGGTGGTTGTGATGCAGGCTATGAGCCCACGTCAGCCCCAGTCCCCACAGTCCCAGCGTGGCATGGCCGCTCCATCGGAACATCCAAGCTCCGGCTGGTGGAGTTCTCTGCCTTCCTGGAGCAGCAGAGAGACCAAGACTCAGTGAGTATCAGAGCCCCATACTCATTTAAATTTATCAGACACTCTTATCCAGAGCCACTAGGGTTAAGTGCCTTGCTCAAGGGCACAAACAGATTTTTCACCTAGTCGGCTCGGGGATTCGAACCAGCAACCTTTTGGTTACTGGCCCAACGCTCTTAACCACTAAGCTACCTGCCACTACTCATCACCCACTCTGCATATGTATTATATGTATCTTGTATTTACCACTCTACCAGGCTACTCATCACCACACTACACCACTACACACTGCCACTGACCTATTCACTGTATCCAGAATGGCACTACCTCAGGTTTTTTATGGGGTTTTAATGTTGAGAGAAAAAATACCGGCAAGCTCTTATAGCTCTTCTTTTTCATGAAAGCATGTAAAAGCATGTCAAGATAGGGAGGGTATTGTCCGTATTCGTGGCCACTCTCATGAGACATAGCTGTCAGTCATTTCCAGCTCTTATCACCCAGTTCTGGCCCCCTCTCAACACACAGAGGGTCTAGCTGCACACTGCCGAGGATCAAAGAGACGAGAATGAATGCACACACTAGATTGAATTCCCTTCACTAGTTCTGACCGACCATACACACACACAGAACACTGGGATTAGGGAAAGTAAGGGTCCACAGACCCATGTCACATCATGTGAAAAGGCACACAGACCAGCAGCCCTAAACTCATGCCTCACATTCTTTATTGTTTGGTTTGGACGTGAGCGATCTGTCTTGGTTTGTCTGCATTCCCCCGAGAATTTTATTTTGCTATTGATATCGCATGACAACAGCCATTAATCTTGCATTTAGCTGAATATTTGAGATGGTTACATGGCCTGAAGGCTAGGCTGGAGAGGCCATGCAGCAGTCTGGTACTGAAGTAAAGGGCAACAGTGACTTTGAAATAACCCTCATGATAAGATTTGATTCTCTCACAACAAGAGCATTAGGACAATAGTACAGATTTAATTGTGAAGATATTCCCGGATTTGCTGGCATTCCTCCTTTTTGTCTTATGACTATATATCTTATCTATATTTTTATATCTCATAAACCATGGAGAATAGACTGACTGGTACTGTAAATTACAATAGTTTTTCTGAGGATCTCAGTCAGCCAGATGTTTTACAGTTATTGAAAACAGAACAGCAATAAAACTGCAACTTCTGCATGAGAGATCAATACTCAAAAGCATTTTTTGATGATTTACAAATGTGTCTTTTTGATATTAGCCCTGTAAGATCCTCCTGTTTACTCTCTTTCAGTACAACAAGCACCTCTTTGTGCACATCGGACAGACAAACCACTCCTACAGCGATGCCTTGCTGGAGTCAGTGGACATTCGTCAGATTTATGACAAATTCCCTGAAAAGAAAGGAGGACTGAAGGAGCTCTTTGGCAAGGGTCCCCAGAATTCCTTCTTCCTCATAAAATTTTGGGTGAGTGTCATGTTGCTAAGTATCGGCACTGGTCTGGTGACTGAATAGCACTTGAGTGTGAACAGTAGGCCTGTGTGTTTGCATGAGGAAAGAGGTAAAGAAAAGATATGGAGAAGACACTGTATTGTGGAAAGAAAAATAAACTCACAGATATTTAACCAAATATGTTCACAGAATTACTTACTATTAATTAGCTTGTGAAATGAAACTGGTGAGTATTTTATGCATTTTGTTCTACATTAGTATCTCCATAAAGATATATTGTATATAATTTCTCATGTTGTTTCTGTGGAATAAAGCATTTCCTGTTTTACAACCCAGAGAAAACAGGATTTGTTTGGTTTAATCTCCAGTGGGTTTAATCAGAGGCTTAAACACTGTAGATGGCTGCAGAATGCATGTTGCTATATTTGGCCTCGCATAGCAGGAGAGCTTGTGATCAAAGGGCTCGCTAATTCAGTGTAATATCTAAAAACAATGGAGTGACCTGGTTACACTCTTAATGGCTGTTTAAACATTGCATGTATTTTACCCCAATGGAAAATGCTAACTAGCGGCAGCCAACAAAGTGGGGCTCGCCATGGCAGCCAGAACAGCCCGCTCAAATTCCTTTTGAAGTGACCGGCCAATCTGAATTTCAAATGAAAGGCACAATCTGCACAATAATTAAAGTGTAACTGCTTTGACTAATGAAGGAGGAGGATGCTATAGAAGGAGATGTGCTCTTTTTGTCCCCATAATGAACATGATGTCCTGGGCCTGGAGAGCTGCCCTCGGAGAACTGCTCCTTTTCACTAGCATGAATCAGTCCCTTAACATAACTTCATTTAATCTCCTTTATAATCTAGTTCCAAATATGGATTACATTTACATAGTCATTCAGAGGTGGCTAAGAAGTGTGTTATTTATTTAAGAATGTCCATTCACGTGATCACTGATGCCCAGCTAGATGGTAATATATTTGCAGGTTTAGGTCGTTATTTATTTGAGATAAATGACGACTTTCAATCTACACTAACAATTTTCCATTGCATGGTGCATTTACATACAACTCTGTTCTGCATCCCTTTAAATCTTCATCTGATTGCCCTCTCACTAGAGGGCAGTATTGTGATGATGGCCATTTTTTTTCCTAAAACACATTTCTCTCACCTCATATGGATGAACAAATGAGACACATTTCTGTCTTACCAACGACTAATATTGTGTTATTTGTGGTTCCCAGGCTGACTTGAACTGCAACATAGAGGATGAAGCGGGGTCTTTCTATGGAGTGACCAGTCAGTATGAGAGCTCTGAGAACATGACAATCACCTGCTCAACTAAGGTGTGCTCCTTTGGCAAGCAGGTGGTCGAGAAGGTGGAGGTGGGTACTCAATCAGTCTTATTGTTAAAAAAACAAAACATGTTGATATCAGTATATGTGGAGGCGGAAGAAGCGCACACCTGGTTAGGTGAGGTGCTGGCTAGCGGAGTAGAACACCTGGTTAGGTGAGGTGCTGGCTAGCAGAGTAGAACACCTGGTTGGGTGAGGTGCTGGCTAGCAGAGTAGAACACCTGGTTAGGGGAGGTGCTGGCTAGCAGAGTAGAACACCTGGTTAGGGGAGGTGCTGGCTAGCAGAGTAGAACACCTGGTTAGGGGAGGTGCTGGCTAGCAGAGTAGAACACCTGGTTAGGGGAGGTGCTGGCTAGCAGAGTAGAACACCTGGTTAGGGGAGGTGCTGGCTAGCAGAGTAGAACACCTGGTTAGGTGAGGTGCTGGCTAGCAGAGTAGAACACCTGGTTAGGTGAGGTGCTGGCTAGCAGAGTAGAACACCTGGTTAGGTGAGGTGCTGGCTAGCGGAGTAGAACACCTGGTTAGGTGAGGTGCTGGCTAGCGGAGTAGAACACCTGGTTAGGTGAGGTGCTGGCTAGCGGAGTAGAACACCTGGTTAGGTGAGGTGCTGGCTAGCGGAGTAGAACACCTGGTTAGGTGAGGTGCTGGCTAGCGTAGTAGAACACCTGGTTAGGTGAGGTGCTGGCTAGCAGAGTAGAACGCCTGGTTAGGTGAGTAGAACACCTGGTTAGGTGAGGTGCTGGCTAGCAGTGTAGAACACCTGGTTAGGTGAGGTGCTGGCTAGCAGTGTAGAACACCTGGTTAGGTGAGGTGCTGGCTAGCAGAGTAGAACACTTCAAAAAGAAAAGGAGAGCAGCATACTAGGAGTTCAGATGCAATCATTGATTACCAACGTTTATCACCAAGCTGTCTTCATCAGGGTATAATGACAAACACTGCGGGTCACTAGTTTATATCGTTTGGAAGGACACACAGGTGTCTGTAATCATGGCCAGCTGTGGCATGATTTTATTTGTCGATTTACAAATATAAGTAGAACATATAAATGAATGGATTACATACGATCATAGATACAATTAGTCTACAGCATATACGCCTACAAACACATTATTTACAATGGATAGCAAAAACACAATATTCACAGGAACGGCTTCAGATCAAACTCTACGATGAGACCGAAGGGAGCAAGGGTCTTTAAATTAAAGATCCAGGCGGCCTCTCGTTTTAACAATAAATTGTCAAGGTCACCCCCTCTCCTAGGGAGGGTGACATGTTCGATGCTGATATAGGGAAGGTAAACAGTATGTGTCACACATTTCTGGATGTTGGTTCTCTCTCCCCAGACGGAGTATGCCCGGTTTGAAAACGGACGTTTTGTGTACAGGATAAGCCGGTCTCCCATGTGTGAATACATGATCAACTTTATCCACAAGCTCAAACACCTGCCTGAAAAATACATGATGAACAGTGTCCTGGAGAACTTCACCATCCTATTGGTAAGCGTTATGTCCTGTCGTGTCCTGTATGTCCTATTACTGCTTCCTAAAGCAGCCAATTACAAAAGTCAGTCTCTCACTACTCTAACCTGTGGCTAGGACCCTCCCTCTCCTTTATCCTGGCTTTCTGCTGGGCTCCTTTGGCTCCAGCGAGCCTGAAAAGAGGAGCTCTGACTGGGGCCTGAGATGAGCCTTGCTCCCTGCTCCTGCATTCCTCGCATTTCCACAGGGGATGGAACGCAGTGTGAGGAGCCTCATTATCTGCAGGGAGGAGGAGGGGAGGGGGAGATCAGAGGGGGTGGGGACCCCTGTTATTAGCCATCACATGGGGGCTTAAAGTCCTATTCTCCACTGCAGAGAGAGCTATTTTTAATGCTTGTGTTGGGTGTGCACTCTCAACACGGCCCTGGTTTTGTCTGTTTCATATTTTTCACCCGCTCCTTTAAATTCCTTAGATTTTCCAAATTGACTTGTTTTTGTCACACTGTTTGCTGATTGACATCTGTCCGTGGGCCTTTTTACATCGGAAAGTCATTTTCCTGAGACTCAGATTCCTCTCCAGAGACTGCTCATTGCATTACATGGAGTGGGATTGTGTTAGGTCCGAATGACTAACATGATGTCTCCGTCTCTTCCAGGTGGTGACGAACAGGGACACACAGGAGACTCTGCTGTGTATGGCGTGTGTGTTTGAGGTGTCGAACAGCGAGCACGGTGCGCAGCATCATATCTACCGACTGGTGAAGGAATGAGACTCCTAAACCCCCTGAATCCTCCCTTTACATAGACTAAAGAACCTCAAAACAAAGTGGCAGTGCCTCTAGCTGAAAATCACACATACACTGCTTTTCGGTCACATTTTGGGTGAAGCTTATTGTCATTCATTTCTTTGTATATTAATGTATGTATTTGATGTTTGACTGCAGCTGTGAATTGTGGTACAGTTGTTCTACGTTTTGATACAGGAGAAATTCTTCATTTTAAGGATGGCGAGTCAATCTTTGTTTGTAGGATGTACATATAAAATTGGCAGTATGTAAGGAATCTGTTGGTTGGGTTTCATTTGGTCAACAGACATGTGTATGTTGTCTTTTTCTGCTTTGAACTTGTAATGTACACTAAGAAAACACTAGAAAGATGTTCGTTTTTTTCCCATGGGTTCTGTAAACTACTGTCTGTAGTTGATTTGTGAGTGTATAGGTCACAGGAGGTTGGTGGCATCTTAATTGGGGAGGACAGGCTCGTGATAACGACTGGAGTGGAATAAGTGCAATTGTATCAAATACATCAAACACAAGGTTTCCAGGTGTTTGATGCCATTCCATTTGCTCCGTTCCGGACATTATTATGAGCCGTTCTTCCCTCAGCAGCCTCCTGTGGTATAGATATACAAACCGTACATATATACTTGACCAATAGGTTTTCCAAAGAAAAGCATTTTTTTTTTAAAAAAATAAACATTTTGGGGATAATAATAATTGCTACACGAAAGTTAGTCGAAGGCAAGTGATTGTGGGCATCATAATAGTGAAGTTATTGCTTTACAAAAACATCTGTTTCTTTCAGGGAAAAAAGATACCGATCCCTGTGGACAATCCACGTCTTAGACACTAACAGCAGAATGAATGCACTGTGATTACACAACAGACGCGTAGTTCAACCTGTGTCTCTGCCTCAGACAGGGCTTACAAGTCTTACATTGCAATAAGGAAACCATACATCTATCCTGTTCCAATGTCCTACGTTACAAACGAGTCCCTCTCTTCTGAGAAGACGGTCATTAAAATGGTTTTGATTCTAAAAACATGAAAGCACTACTTTAGCTACTCTGAGTGGACTGTCACCTTGTCCTAAGCACTTGGTTCCCCTTCTAGGACATGACAATTTTAACTTTTATGTTTTTGTTTCAGATCTGCGGTTTAAGGTTTTAGGATATCCTGAAATAATCGTGAGAAAATTGATCACTTCTTAGACAGTGGGCTGTGTTAAGTATGCAGTTTAATTGCCTCTGAACAGATTATGCATTTTTTCAATCTCTGATTTTCTTTCATTTGTTCTGGTCATTTCAGTGTAATTTCTACAATCTCTGATTTTCTTTCATTTGTTCTGGTCATTGCAGTGTAATTTCTACAATCTCTGATTTTCTTTCATTTGTTCTGGTCATTGCAGTGTAATTTCTACAATCTCTGATTTTCTTTCATTTGTTCTGGTCATTGCAGTGTAATTTCTACAATCTCTGATTTTCTTTCATTTGTTCTGGTCATTGCAGTGTAATTTCTACAATCTCTGATTTTCTTTCATTTTTTCTGGTCATTGCAGTGTAATTTCTACAATCTCTGATTTTCTTCCATTTGTTCTGGTCATTGCAGTGTAATTTCTACTAAGTCCTAGCCAGTGTTGCTGCCTTTACGTTCACACCACCCCATGAGTCTGTGGCCTACACCAATTCCGAGCCTTAAACATGTTACGGACGTGTGAATTCCAAAAGATGCCACTAAAGCTGTGATCTTTTTCCTAAACTGGGTGACTAATTTTCACATTTTGTAGGAATTCTACTACAGTACAATCTGCCAAAGTGTAACAGTGTACAGTGCCTTAGTGTATAGTGTCAAACTGGCCTTGGTTCACTTTTAAGAATGTATTTTGTTTTTAACATGCACAAAAAAATATATAAAATCACTTGCCAATATACAAACACACACGAGTTAAACTGAGTTACTTTTTAACATAAATAAGAACTGACTTTGCCTTTCCTGTTCTGAAAGACCAAAAATACAGAGATACGATCTCTAGTCATGTCCTGCACTGTAACATGGAAGTGCCTTTGGTTTAGAATCTCCAGCTCTGAAAATACAAAATTATTATGAATTAAGCGTTGCTAAACCAAAAAGAGATGTAATGAAACCAATCACCACATTGCCTTGCTGAAGGTTTGTAATAGATAACAAGGGACAGTGAGTGAGTGAGTCCATCCATGGTCAAATAAATTATATATTAATATAATTTGGTTTTAAGAAATTATCTGTTAAGAAGAGTACCTGTACTACTCATGTGTGTGAAGTTATAGTCTGTGAAAGGCCTGTTTGACCAGACAGCAACTGATAGAATGGAGGATGGTGACTCGTTCCAGCAGCTGTGAAGTCACATAGGCTTACAACTTTACCTTAAGAAGAGATACATGTTTCCTGATTCTTACTAAATTATTTATGGGAATATCTTATTCTGAATCATTGCAGAAAAAGTTTCTGGTGGATACAGACAAAGTTGGTTCAATTGCTCAGTATTTTTGCTACAGCCCTATGGAGACTGGAGTTCAGTAGGAATATATTTTCTTTGTTAACTGTTTTATCTCCCATTTTGCCCTGTGTACTAGTTCATGTTTATAAATGACTTACTGAGGTGTTCCTGTTTTACTGTTCTACATGTATACGATGGTTTGTGATGACGTTTTGGGTATATTCCAAGCCCCAAGATGGAGGTGATGCTGTTACTGCTACACTGCTGGTACATTTGACATGTCAGTTCCAGGCTGGAACAGTTGACTGTACCTCCCACATCTCTGGGGACCAGAAGACTGTTGCCTTTGATCAGATGAATCGTCTAGAGGACACTCTGAACAAAATGGACATAAAGCATGGATGTGTAACGGAATCTCGACACAAACATATCAGCAGTTTAGCTCTCGTTGTTATTTGTTTGTAATTTCGTCTAAATGTAGGTACTGGTACCTTTTTTGTTCGTTATTACCATTTTAAGATGTTGGCTTTAAAGTGAACTTTTCCATAGTTCAGATAGTATCATAAAAAAAACTATTGGGTTTGTGTGCAGAGATTTTTTTTGTAAAAAGGTGCTTTGTATAAAAGTATATATCCTGGCTTTTCTTGGTACAGAAGTGTGATATCTTTTCATATCCATGACAGTAAAGCATTGGAGCAAGGGACAGAAAAGAAAACCTGCTATGCGTATGTGTTCTCTACTGCATATGGTCTTGTCTTTGCTCCGTAACATTTTGATGCCTTCTTGATAAAGTGGTAGATATTTTGTAGCTTTCTAGATACTTTGTATGTATACAATATTGAAGTTAAATAAATCATGAAAAATATGGTCTACTTTTTATTCTGTGAACAACTGACAGTGAGAATACAAAAAAAAATAGAGCATCTCCACATGAATACTTAAATGTATTAGATGTAACACATCAGCTGTACTAACCACAGATACACACCAGAGGGAGCCATTCTCTGCCTTTTGTATTGGTGCCAGAGGGAGCCATTCTCTGCCTTTTGTATTGGTGCCAGCCTCGTTACAGTATGTGATGTGGCATTATTTTCAATTATCAAACTAGATTTCATAATCTGGGACAACAATTTACAATAAAAGCCCCTATAAAAACAGTAATGAAGCCACTTACACAGGCTACACTCTTTGGTAAAGATTATTTACATTTAATAATAATAATAATAATATGCCATTTAGCAGATGCTTTTATCCAAAGTGACTTACAGTCATGTGTGCATACATTTTTACGTATGGGTGGTCCCGGGGATCGAACCCACTACCCTGGCGTTACAAGTGCTATACTCAACCAATTGAGCTACAGAGGACCATTTAGTAGACACTCTTATCTGGAGCTACTTACAGGAAGAATTAGGGTTAAGTGCCTTGCTTAAGGGCACATCAACAGATTTTTCATGAAGTCAGCTGAGGGATTCAAACCAACAACCTTTCGGTTACTGGCCCAAAGCTCTTAAGGTTCCGCTAGGCCAACCAATGTTATTATCCCTACAGCACAGCCCTCTCTCAGCTAAAGTTCTATGCTTCGATCATTTTTAAATAACATCTAACATGACTGTTGCACTTAATTTGAAAACATTTTGTGAATAATACATGAAGCATTAGTGTCAATGTAAAATGTGTCACTTTCCATTTTGCTGAACAGTTATCATGGATAATACTGAAAGATAACACCAGATGGAGCCATTATCAAAAGAAAGACTTGTCCATTGGACCCGCCCAAAAAAGACTGAAGGCCAAAGTACTGTTGTTTAGCTGTTGCACTGATATGCTCATTCTGTAACACTGTTGTAAAAAGTGCTAACATATTTAAACCTGGAGCCTAGGTATCTATTACTCTCTCATTCACTCACTCACACATCAGTTATACCTTGTAACGGTTTTACGTTGTAACGATTGTAACGTCAGTAGTTTCGGCAGGTAGCCTGGCGGGTAGGAGCGTTGGGCCAGTATCCGAAAGGATGCTGGATCGAATCTCCGAGCTGACAAGGTAAACATCTGTAGTTCTGCCCCTGAGCAAGGCAGTTAACCCACTGTTCCCCGGCCGCCGAAGACGTGGATGTCGATTAAGGCAGCCCCCCGCACCTCTCTTTCATAGGGGTTGGGTTAAATGCGGAAGATTCATTTCAACTGAATGCATTCAGTTGTACAACTGACTAGGTATCCCCTTTTCCCTTAGTGTGCTTTGTTACTGAATAATCAGAGACACAGAACAACTCCTTTGTCTACAGAATGCCCTCTCTCTCCACTGACACTGTCCACATAATATCTAACAGATCATGTGTGTGAGAGGATCTGATTCTGGAGTCATTTTTAAATCCATGCAAGGTGCACCAGTGTAATTTCCCCAGGGGTCAGAGCCCTGACTGATTTGGACTACTTCACTTCCTGTGTTTCTAGGGAGGCCTTTACACAGCTGTATCTGAGTACAAGAGGAAGAATACTGGACACCCATAATGGGTGTGAAATGTACCCCACTATGATCTTGATTCATGGTGTAGCAGTCCTCACGACAGGTACCAGCAGGGGGTCAGGATTTCTCTCTAATTCGGTAATTACAGATAAATCCTCGAGATCAAGGTTAGAACGCTGCCTTCTGAATGAGCCAGGAAGTGATCGTCTAAGTGTCAGATAGTGTGTTCCAATTCGGCACAGACGTCATTTCAATGTCTAGTTTTGGTTTACATTTGGTTGAGTTGTCAACTAACGAGAATTCAATGTGAAATCAACAAAAAATGTCACCATGTCATTGGATTTAGATGAAAAGTTGGGTGAAAAAAAGACGAAATTCCCTTATATTGATGACTTAGAAAATCCAATTAGTTTCCCACGTTGATTCAACGTCATCACATTGAATAGTTTTTGTTGAAATGCCGTGGAAACAACATTGATTCAACCAGTTTTTTCCCACTGGGTTGTTAAACTGATGTTGATGATCAGCATGTAGGAATAGAAAAGTGAGATGAGGCAATGTACTGTGGAACCCCACGAAGCTGGATCAATACAATCGCTTTTCTTTTACCATCGGTTTGTTGGGGTGTTTGTCAGTGAAGTGACATATGTGTGTCACCCAGAGAAGATGCACTGTGCTATAGCCTCCTATGCAGATGTGTGTCAATTAGTCTTTGTATGCCGCATGCTAATGTATTTGGTTTAAAAAAGTGAGTATGCTCAGCAGTAAGATAACATCTTCTGATTCAGGGATGTCAGTACCTTAATTCACTCCTCCCATTGTCACTATTTGATGTGTTGCATAACCCCCAGGGATGTCTGTGTTTCTGTTGGCATCAGACTGCCATACATCTCATGCATGAGTGATGCTCTATGTTGCCATGTTCCCACGTGCTATAATATGATGTTTACCAGGTGGCGTGGCGAGAATCTTTCTCCGCACCACCTGCTCTCACCACTGGTGTCCCCCAGGGCTCAGTTCTAGGCCCTCTCCTATTCTCTCTATACACCAAGTCACTTGGCTCTGTCATATCCTCACATGGTCTTTCCTATCATTGCTACGCAGACAACACACAATTAATTTTCTCCTTTCCCCCTTCTGATAACCAGGTGGCGAATCGCATCTCTGCATGTCTGGCAGACATATCAGTGTGGATGTCGGATCACCACCTCAAGCTGAACCTCAGCAAGACGGAGCTGCTCTTCCTCCCTGGGAAGGACTGCCCGCTCCATGATCTCGCCATCACGGTTGACAACTCCAATGTGTCCTCCTCCCAGAGTGCAAAGAGCCTTGGCGTGACCCTGGAAAACACCCTGTCGTTCTCTGCTAACATCAAAGTGGTGACCCGATCCTGCAGGTTTATGCTCTACAACATTCGCAGAGTACGACCCTACCTTACACAGAAAGCGGCACAGGTCCTAATCCAGGCACTTGTCATCTCCCGTCTGGATTACTGCAACTCGCTGTTGGCTGGACTCCCTGCCTGTGCCATTAAACCCCTACAATTTATCCAGAACGCAGCAGCCCGTCTGGTGTTCGACCTTCCCAAGTTCTCTCATGTCACCCCGCTCCTCCGCACACTCCACTGGCTTCCAGTTGAGGCTCGCATCTACTACAAGACCATGGTGCTTGCCTACGGAGCTGTGAGGGGAACGGCACCTCCTTACCTTCAGGCTCTGATCAGACCCTAGACCCAAACGAGGGCACTTCGTTCATCCACCTCTGGCCTGCTAGCCCCCCTACCTCTACAGAAGCACAGTTCCCGCTCAGCCCAGTCAAAGCTATTTGCTGCTCTGGCACCCCAATGGTGGAACAAGCTCCCCCACGACGCCAGGACAGCGGAGTCACTGACCACCTTCCAGAGACACTTGAAACCCTACCTCTTTAAGGAATACCTGGAATAGTATAAAGTAATCCTTCTACCCCCACCCCCATCCCCAACCCCCCATAAAAAAAAATAAAGAAGAAAAAAAGTGGTTGTCCCACTTGCTATCATAAGTTGAATGCACCAATTTGTAAGTCGCTCTGGATAAGAGCGTCTGCTAAATGATGTAAATGTAAATGTTTACATGAGTGGTGAAATTAAGGATGAATAAGCCTACTCATTGGGTCTCATTCATCAACATTTACTACAGTAAATTATTATAAATGAATATTAATAATAATAAACATGCATTTATACAAGTATTATTATAAGTATTGTTATTATTGTACATATCACTACTATTGTTATTGATGTGATAGTTGTTGTAATTATTGTTATCATGATTAGTTGTAGTATTAGTCATTTGTTGTTGTTATTAATGAATAATAGTGTTGTTGTTATTGTTATCATGTTTTATTAATATATGGTTCTCAAAATACGCAATCAGGTTCTCTGCGAGAGTAACAAACTTTATGGGCGGTGTTACTTGTCGAGTTTAGGAACTGTAGAGTTGTCATGTGATCAATGCAGAGCGAGTCTCCAGTTGTACGCACAGCGCGCAAAGGGCGCAGTTGGGTGTGCTTACTTGGACACAGAGCAAACCGCTACAGCGGATACATGGACTTCCCAACCGCTACAACTACATGAGGAAACGCGTAAAATGAACAATTTATCTCAGAATGTTGGATGTTGCTTTTTCTTCTAACGTATGCGGATGTACAATCCATTTAGCACTTAAATGACAAAACTCTGTTCTAATCCGTTTCCCTCCTCAAAAAACGGAATTTGAATGGTATTCTAAAGGGGAATAACGTTTCGTTTTAGTTTATGATGGAGTCCGAGGAAAGTAAGATATCTGTGTGGGTTTGCCGAGAGGAGAAGCTTGTATCCGGACTGTCAAAGCGTACCACCTGTGCTGATGTGATCAATGTGCTCCTTGAGGATCAAAACTTGCAACAATGTGTCTCTGCAGCCATGATCTCCGGATCACCCCAGTCCTATTGCATCGTAGAAAAATGGAGAGGATCTGAGAGAATTTTGCCGAATAAAACAAAGATCCTTCGACTTTGGGGCGCGTGGGGAGAGGAGCAGGAGAACGTGCGGTTTGTGTTGGTTAAAAATGAGGCTTCTTTGGCTAACCATGGACCCCGGAGCGCAGAGGCGCGTGTGGTGCTCAGCAAGGAGAGCCCGTGCGTTTACAAGGGGACAGCAAGAGCCACCATGGGCTTTTCACATGAGAAACAACGTCGGATTGTTAGGAAAGCTTTCAGAAAGTTGGATAAAATAAATAAAAAGAGGGCGCAAACCGTGTCCAATGATGCGCCCACTGGGGAGAAAATGGAAACTTTGGTTCACCTGGTCATATCCCAGGACCACACAATCCGCCAACAAATCCAGAGAATTAAAGAACTGGACAGAGAGATAGAAAGGTATGAAGCTAAAGTTCATTTTGACAGAATGAAAATGCATGGGATCAATTACGTGCAGGACACATACTTAGTGGATGCGCATCCTGACGGGCTCTCCAAGCAGGAGGGTGAGAAGCAATGCTCGGCGGAGGCTGTTGCCCAGTTTGAGGAGTATGCCCTACGGTGTGAGGAGGTGATTAGACTTCAGGATGAATTGGCTGAGTACGAAGCGCTCATGGACAGCATTACTGTGGAGATCCAAGAGGAACTGAACCAGAGGTGGATGAAGCGAAGGCAAGAGGAGCTGTCAAGTAAAGAGGTGGAACCCAGCGCGGGAGAGACCGCTATGTGGGTATCAACAGCCCATGCGACACACACAGACACTTTAGCCCTGGAGGCTGATACATCATTAGAGAACGATTTGCTTCTGGAGGAGGATAGGATCAAAACGCAGCTGGATACTAGTTTATACATTGGACTGCGCTTGAACACGGATTTGGAGGCTATTAGGAGTGATTTGAATCTAACCCAGGATATTTGGGGGGCGAAAGAAAAGGAGATACGGGATTTGCTGGAGAAAGTGAACTCATTGGATATAGAGGACGACGGGACACCAAGCGAGGACAATGACTGCAACTCTGTGGTTACTGAGGCAGCAACGATGCGTCCCTTGGAGACGAAAAGCGAGTGGGTGGAGCAAGCCAGGGGGCTTTCAAAGACATGCAATGCCAACGATGACGACTCAGACACTGGCCTGAGCTCCATGCACAGTCAGGACTCGGATAACCCACCTGTGTGCGAGTCATTGGTATAAATTTCCAGGATGCTTCAAGTTCTATTGACAATTATATTACATTATTACTGTACTTCTAAAAACTCAGGGACAGAGTATATCCCCACAATGAACAACACAATATAATTTATTCAAAAATGTATTGACTAATATGTAGCTTACCCCAATACATAGTCAAAATACTTGGTCACTTAAATATATGCACTTACAGTTATTCACATATTTTGTTGCCTTTTCTCTATAAAAAAACCTTTTACCTGTGCCAGGATATGACACACCTCAGTGTTATTGGTCAGATTATTATTGGATAAGGGATGGAAGCCTTTGTGTTTGCAAGACTAAACAGACTTCAAATAGACCATGCTAATTGTAACACTGCACAAGTGCTAATTCTAGTTGGAAGTGAGATAGTGCTCTGCACTTGTCCAATGTGATTTTGTGGACACACAGACGAGTCTTAAATATGAAGGGTGTATGACATACTAAAATAAAGATAATTTACAAAACTTGTATGTGCAATTCCTTCATTGAAATATGCAGAAAATGACTTTGCCTTGCCTAATCAATACTAAGTCTGCAAATTGTATGCAACGAGTGAAAAGTACAGGATAATGTTAAACAATGTATGTGTGAGTGTGTGTGGATGCATGCATCACTATGTGTGTGTGTTCATGCGCTTGTGGGCATGTGTGCTTGAGAGAGATGGTAGGTAGGGTAAGGGGTGGCATGGAGCATTACGCAATGGGATGAAAACTCCAAGCAGATGCTGGGCTCACACAGCATAAACCAGGGAGGGCATGAAGGATTTAGGCTCATATCCATGGGTGTCAGGGGATTCCCAATCAATGTGACTGAGGCCAGGGGTTAAAACTTCCTCTGACATTTACCACACACGGAGAAGCAGCAGAGATGCCTTTGACAGAGAGACATACAATATTCATGGCATTACATTACATTTCTCCACACAATAGCGAGTGTGAGGCTTGCTGTCTGACCCAGGTGGGGTATCACATGATGCTACTGTATTTCACTGTTGACTGGACTTCAGTCAGGCTTCAGATCCACTCCCTCTCAGCCAGGGTCTCATAAGAGGATCCCCCCCCCCTCCTCCTCCCTGCCCACCCCTACTGTACCCCTGCCATAGTGCACTCTTAACACATACCTGAACACTAGATCAAACCAGCATCAGCTGTAATCAGAGGCATGCTGTTGGCGTTAATCTGGGTGTTGTCTGTTGAGCAGTGTGAGGATTGTAGCTATAAAGCCAGAGCTGCAGATGCATTCAGACCGTCACAAATAACATCATCAAGGCTCAGGTTTGTTTGCAAAGCTAATGTCAGAGCATTACCTCTGGCTCTACTTCACATTCACCACTGTAGCAACATATTTTATTTATGCAGAACATTTAACAGATATTAACATTTTAATCATTCAGATAATATTGTTATTACATATGTATAAGCTACAGAATTTCATAACAAGAAACTGCTCCAATGGCCCAAATAGTACTTCTGTCTGTCTATCACAGCCAGTGAACATCTGGACTAAAGTATTACCTCACCTCAGGTTGGGCAGGGCAATCATGGATTAAAGCAACATATTGTACGTTTGGCCAATAGCCTTTCCAGATGACATAATTATAAAAGATTATAATAGGGCTGGATTATAATGTGCGTCGAAGACCAGTCATAATGAAAACCTACAGTTCCGGTAGTAGGGTTACTTTACTCTATAACCATGCTATTTCACAAATGATTTTATAATTCCAATCACTCTCAATTATATTATATCTATTCAGAAATTGATATTAGCATGACACCAGCACAACACTGAATGAACTAGTATGTGATCTGGATGCATTAGTGGATGCACTCAGAGGTCACAACAGATAGAGAAGGCTAATCCCTTTTTTAATGTCAGTCCAGAAACACTGGCTAGAGTTTATGGGAACCTTTCGTACCCTCCTCAGTAATAAAGTCAAGGATCTGTGACGCACCAGTGATGAGGAATGCTGTAAAACTCCCTTCCTGGCTGTACAGGCTCAGGAACACATAGTGCAGGTCTTCCACTGACATACACTACAGGGGCTAGATGAGATTTGTCTCACACAAGAATGGCCACCCAACTAGTAAGACATTTTACTGACGTTGTAGCTTATGACGTGGTCCTCTGTAGCTCAGCTGGTAGAGCACGGCGCTTGTAACGCCAAGGTAGTGGGTTCGATCCCCGGGACCACCCATACACAAAAATGTATGCACGCATGACTGTAAGTCGCTTTGGATAAAAGCGTCTGCTAAATGGCATATTATTATTATTATTATGTCACTATTTTTATGAGGCTCTCTTCACTCACACATACACTCATTCTCTTCACTCACACGCACACACACACACACACGTATGCACATACACACATACACGCACACACGAGCACACACACCAAGTATACATGATCATTTTTATATGAATTCTACAAGCTCTTCAAAGGAGTGTGGGAAAGTGAGTAACGCTGTGGTGACTGAGCTGTAGCTTTGGGGAGGAGGTGTATTTAGAAGAGGAGGTTCTCAGGGGGCTCCTTCATCTCTCAAACAGCAAACAGGACGCAATTACTGCCATGTCTTTGATCCTTCATGAATCTCTTCCACTCCCCTGCACCGAGCACTGAGCCCCCACCCCCTTTAATGAGGCCCTGCCCCACTGACTCCCTGCAACCCCTTCCCCTATTCTGAACGAGGCAGGTATCTATCAATGGGTGATAATGACAGGTACTCTGAATCCACCCCTACCATAAATACTTCATTACTGCAGTGTGAGGAGAGGACAGGGCTATTAATGTTGACCCAGGTGGTCCAGGTTTCAGACAGTCTGAACCAAAACCTTCACTTTACACAGGGACACGCACCACCATGATAGAACCTGACCAGATAAAACGCTTGATTCTCTCCCACTTTATTACTGTGATTTTGGGATGAACTAGTGGGTAAGGCACCTATTACAATTTCTCCTGTCTGAAAACATTAATTTGTTAGTCAAGGAGCACTACAGGGGACTCTCAAACCAGAGAAAGTGCTTCCTTGTTTCTCTCTCTCTCTCTCTCTCTCTCTCTCTCTCTCTCTCTCTCTCTCTCTCTCTCTCTCTCTCTCTCTCTCTCTCTCACACACAGAGACAGACAGACAGACAGACAGACAGACAGACAGACAGAGCGAGAGAACTGTCACACTATCAGAACTCCAATATTTGAAGGTTCAGTGACTCCATAGTCGATGAACCCAAAATAGGGCGCAGGTGTCAATCAAGTCATGGTCATGGGACACTGCATTGCTCGGGGGGATGTTTGTTTGTGTTTTAAACAAGAGGGAGAAAAAAATGTCAGTGCCAAACTGACTTTCCAGACCAATAAGCAAGGCTCCAAGCATCCTGACACTCACTACAATCATCCATTTCTCTGATTTGGCTGCCTTACAGTAGGATTTATATTTGGCATTCAGAGCCATTGAACATTGTATACAGGAACCATGACAACAACATACAAGCCAAGCACAGCATGCATGCAGCCACTAAAGCATAAGCATACACAGCATACTGAGTGCACTAACTCAAAAGGAGAAACTACTTGAGGTGTTTACACATTTGCTTTTGTTTCTAACATCATGAAGTAAGAGTCCACTGTTGGCTTAAATATTGACCAGATTGACCATGTTCTTATGGACGCTCTGATTTTCCACCACATACAGTCGGCTACTTTGGTGGTTCTAGCAGTTTTCCTATAAAGACGGATTATAGCTAAACTAAACTCCTTACTGTATGGTTTCCTAGATACCACACACACTGTAAACCAACCAGTGTTTAGTATACACATTGTACCTGCATACAGTAGGTATCCAGTGGCAGGTGTTGGATTTGAGACATAACAGCAGTATACATTACTGCCTCCATCCTGGAAGCCTGGGAGGATGTTCTCTGTTTTATGTGTTTGATTATGATTGGATAAATCAAAACCAGAGGACTAACAATGGCTATTCAATATTTTCAATGTATCGTATAAATGCACAGCGGTGCTATTAGAAGGTTCCGTAATTATTTAGGGATGTCTAATGAGAACCTCACGGTTATAATGAAGACAAAGTCTGTTATGGCACAATGCACTTCTTATTCATTGTATGAAGAGTGTCCAAGAGCATTAAAAGTATTCTTTCTAAGTTGGCTAAATAAGTCACACACTAGCATGTTGGTATTTACATTTACATGTTAGTCATTTAGCAGACACTCTTATCCAGAGCGACTTACAGTTAGTGAGTGCATACATGTTCATGTAAGTTTAGGTTGCAGAACATAAGACCAGAGGGGTTTTATGTTCAGATCATGCACAATACTTCCATTGAGTTTTAGTTAGAAAACTTTTATCCAACATCAAAGATACTTGATAACCATAAAATGGGATCTGATACTTTAACAGCAATTAGCGTTGAGACAAGACACTACCCATAAGGAACCTATTCATGTGTGTTATTCACCCACAGGTACATCACCCATCCACCTCTCTATTGTTAGCTGCTTTGATATCTCTCACCTTACACTTCTAGTACAGACCTGGCATGGCCTGGTGATACTGTACAAACTGCACAGAGAACCACAGAGAGAACAAAACGCTATCTATCTGTAAGATCTAGACAGCCACTCTGACGTTCACAGTCTAAACATATGTATTGGAAAGTACTATGTTTCATAATTTGATTCCTTTGTGTTTGCATATTTGGCAAAGGCGGAGTAGTGGACTTATGGACATGTAAGAGGGGGATTAGTCTGAAGCCAAAACTCTAAATGGAACAATGACCCCTCTTCCCTTGTTATACAACCGGTGTCTTTCACAGTTCTCTGCTCATCTGCCATTTCTCCTAACTTACTATGCTGTTTGGCTTTTGCATTTTGAAAGAACAATGTTGACATTTTAATACCTTTGGCTCAGAAAACAATGAATCAGTTTCAGAGTGGTCCAACACTAACAATCTACAGAAACCTGTACCCTCGCACATTGACTCGGTACCGGTACCCCCTGTATATAGCCTCGTTATTGTTATTTTATTGTGTTACTTTTTTAAAATTGTATTTAGTAAATATTTTCTTAACTCTATTTCTTGAACTGCATTGTTGGTTAAGGGCTTATAAGAAAGTATTTCACGGTAAGGTCTACACCTGTTGCATTCGGCACGTGACAATTTTATTTTGTTTGAATTCCACCCCAGATCCTACATAATGGGTTGCAAGGTCATGGCATGACATCCATTCCATCTGGCTTCCATGTTAATGATCTTCTGACATGGCTACAGTGGGTGCCTGTACAACATCCCACCCACAGAAACAACAACCAGAGACCCTATGGACCTGACCAGGCATGGGAGGGGCCCCTCACTTAATGGAGCTCATTAGGACCTGAGTGTAAGGAGCTGCCAGCGGTGCCATACATCATGAGGTCCACTGAGAAAAACACATGAGGCGGTGCAGGGTTCATCTCCCATCTCTTCCTCGTCTCTGCACCATTTATCAGTGTATGAAAACAAGCTGGGCTGGCCACTCAGTCAGTGTAAACAGCTGGCTGGATGGGAGGTTTACAGTGTTCGCATGGCTTGTCATGAGGCCTGGTGGGCCTCTCACTCTGAAGAAGTTTGGAGCTGTATGGCGGACAACAACATCTCTTGTTTATCTTGGCGTTGGAATGTTAACTGCAGTAAATTATTGGTTTATTGATCTTAATCGCTTTGTGACAGCATAAAATGTGATATTATGTCCTATACTACATTCTATGGCAAACATTCCAATACCGTAACATTATATACTTTTTACATGTGCTATTATCAATAATCATATTACCATACATCCAGACGATGCACTAGAATTATGTTTTTTTCCATACTGACAACTGTGTGGCATAGGGAGTGAACTTGTAGAGTTTATGACCTGTTTTGTGTCTTGGCCTTAAACAGTAAAAGTAAGGTTTCTTCCCACACAAAGCACAAAAACACCATCACAGCGTTCGCCGGCTAGCCATCTTCAAAAAAGAAGGGAGCATAAAGGATTGAGAATAGGCCTGATTTGCATTTTGATTTAGGGGGATTACATTACTGGACCCTCACAATGCAGCTTCACTGTGTGGTATAATTGAAGAGAGTTTGGGGAGAGTGCAATGGCCAGCTGATACTGAAGAATGTGTCTTGTACCCCTCACGTCTCAGAGGCTGTGACTTCTGGGGGATTCTGGGATGTGTTGTTTGTCTCGCTTAGCAGTTGACATCTGGGTGACAGCTCCCTATAAAAGGGACAAAAAAGGAAGTGATTGCAGTGCATGCAGACAGGCTCTTTCTAAACGTGTGCTAAAGGCAGAGCAAGTAGGAGAAGGAGAGGGACGACAGGCAAACATGAATGAAAGGATGTGGCTTTCAGTGGCGCCAGCAAGATACTGTGTGTGCCTCTCAGTGAAAGGGAATGCACGTGACGCAGGGCTGGGTCACAGCTCAGGATCACACACTGGCAGAGCCAATACCAGAGCAGAAGATGAAACAACAAATGAATGTTAGGCAAAAGGTACATCCACCTTATGCAAGGAATTCATTCCATTTCCTTTTCTATTTTAAGTGGTTCTAAGAACACACGATATAATAAAATAAACAAAACTTTCACTTGAATTAGATGTTGGAAAATCATGGATCTTTGGTCCAGTATTTTGTGCTTCTTAAGAGTGAATGCACCTGATGTATGAAGTAAACAGTTACTTTAGTTCAGAGATAAAGACAATCAAAAGTCTTAGTGTTGCTTGAAATAAAGGGTTGCATTAACATCTTTGAATAATAGAAGACGCAATACACATAGAACTGAAGTCCCGAGGTGTCCTATCCCTTCAGGCACTAACAGCACTTCAACGTAATGCAGAATGCAGTTGAAAGACACTGAATATGAAATGCAGTTCAGAAATACAATAGGAAAGAGCTTCTTTTCAGGGAGCCAACAGGAATTAAAGAACCAAAGGATGAGTAAAAGGCTGGATTTCATCATGTGTGGTTTATTTGGGGATTTGGGGTTCACTCCACTACTCCTGTTAGATCTTAGATAAGTGATAATAATACTGTCTATATCTATAATGTAGGTGGACTGTCACATGGGATGTTTTTCACCTTATTTCTACTTGTGTAATAATAATCAATAATACTTGCACTAATGTCTGTGAGAGTGTTGAGAGAATAAGATGGTGGAACTTGACATTATATACATCTTAACCCAACTTTCCTGTTTAGCATAACACGTTTCAACAGTTCACAGTTACAGTAGGCTATGTATGTTCTCCCTAATTTATGGCCCTATAGTTATGTATGAAGCGGTTTTGTGACATACAGTACATGCACATCAAATCTGCGTTATAAATAACCCATGAGCAGTGGAAACTTGTCACAGGCACTGCACGTCTGCTAAGACCTGACTGCTTCCTCTGCTGCACCTCATTAATAATTGGTCTCGGAGGAGAAACACTCTTTTGCCCCAACTCTGACTTTATAATGTGTCGTGTTAAGCAGCTGCTGCAGCCTGCCTGCCCTTTGTCTGGCAGTCCACGGCTTGTGAAGAGAAATGACCATGCAGACCTGAGCTGCTCTTCAGCTGCAGGCTGTGCAGGCCCACTGCGGGCAGATAAGCAGGACAGGCCATTGACCAAGCACATGGACCATACACACAGCCTCTAATACCACTACAACCTCTAAGCCCCAGACACACCTCAGCCTGACGCTGATGGACTGAGAGCACAGCTTAACATCTGCTCCTGTTGAATGGACCACAGGAGCTCAGCCCAACCTGCTAGCCAATCGTATGGTGCTGTGAAGAGAGAAACAAATGGAAAGGGAATTAGAATAAGACAAGTAAAAGGTGGAAATGAGATAACAGAAAACCGAATGCCTTCTGACAGCCAAAAAAACATATTTAGTCACAGAGACAGACCTGGTTCTACCGCCGACTAGGAAGAGGGGAGAGAAGCCAGTCCTACTCTACCCAAACACATTGCCCAGGCCATATGTGATCTGACAGGGACAGGCAGTGTAGACAGGGTGGGCTGTTTGTCTAGATCTTCATGTCCCTGAGAATGTCCCAGAGAATTATAACCCTGTCAATAAACCAATATACTTTGTGCAAACTCACGCCACAAAATATTGAATCTGGCAGTTATGCCGGGGCAATGGAGGAATATTTGCACTATCTTTGTTGACCCTCGATGGACCAGACCAGAGGAGTAACCGTAAATAATGACAAGAAATGCCTCAATCCATTAATCATCATGATTTTTATAGTAATTTCTGTTTTGCTTTATGATCAGGACAAGACAGACTTCATCTTGAAAAGAAGATGCATGTATTTAGGTTCAGTCAAGGTTACATCCTGTGGATAAGGAGACTTAGTCATAAGATGTACATTTCCAACGCCTCAAACATCCTACAGCCAGGTAGGCAATCAGTCTACAAGACTAAACCTAGAGAATAAGGACTACGCCTCTTTTTAGAGCAAACATCTCAGCTTGGTAGTGACTGGGAAGCCTTTATGATGACTGTGGGGAAAGTTTTCACCCTGAAAGTGTAGGGCTGGGCGATATGGCCAAAATATCATATGATACTGCCATACTGTTTTTGACAGTATGGCAGTATTTGACGGTATTTTATGTTTTTTAATAATACAAGTTACAAATATGTTTTATGAGTAGTGCATGACCCTAGAATGGCAACAAATACATTCTAAGTGAAAACTGTTGTGCTGATTAAAGAAGCAATTTCTTGTTAACAAACTATAGTTTTGGCAAGTCAGTTAGGACATCTACTTTGTGCATGACACAAGTAATCTTTCCAACAATTGTTTACAGACAGATTATTTAACTTATAATTCACTGTATCACAATTCCAGTGGGTCAGAAGTTTACATACACTAAGTTGACTGTGCCTTTAAACAGCTTGGAAAATTCCAGAAAATGATGTTATGCCTTTAGAAGCTTCTGATAGGCTAATTGACATAATTTGAGTCAATTGGAGGTGTACCCGTGGATGTATTTCAAGGCCTACTTTCAAACTCAGTGCCTCTTTGCTTGACATCATGGGAAAATCAAAAGAAATCAGCCAAGACCTCAGAAAAAAAATGGTAGACCTCCACAAGTCTGGTTCATCCTTGGGAGCAATTTCCAAATGCCTGAAGGTACCACGTTCATCTGTACAAACAATAGTACCCAAGTATAAACACCATGGGACCATGTAGCCATCATACCGCTCAGGAAGGAGACGCGTTCTGTATCCTAGAGATGAACGTACTTTGGCGCGAAAAGTGCAAATGAATCCCAGAACAACAGCAAAGGACCTTGTGAAGATGCTGGAGGAAACAAGTACAAAAGTATCTATATCCACAGTAAAATGAGTCCTATAGCGACATAACCTGAAAGGCTGCTCAGCAAGGAAGAAGCCACTGCTCCAAAACCGCCATAAAAAAGCCAGACTACGGTTTGCAACTCCACGACAAAGATCATACTTTTTGGAGAAATGTCCTCTGGTCTGATGAAACAAAAATAGAACTGTTTGGTCATAATGTCCATCGTTATGTTTGGAGGAAAAAGGGGGAACCTTGCAAGCCGAAGAACACCATGTCAACCGTGAAGCGCGGGGGTGGCAGCATCATGCTGTGGGGGTGCTTTACTGCAGGAGGGACTGGTGCACTTCACAAAATAGATGGCATCATGAGGAAGGAAAATTATGTGGATATATATTGAAGCAATATCTCAAGACATTAGTCAGGAAGTTAAAGCTTGGTCGCAAATGGGTCTTCTAAATGGACAATGACCCCAAGCATACTTCCAAAGTTGTGGCAAAATGGCTTAAGGACAACAAAGTCAAAGTATTGGAGTCGCCATCACAAAGCCCTGACCTCAATCCTATAGAAAATGTGTGGGCAGAACTGAAAAAGCGTGTGCGAGCAAGGAGGCCTACAAACCTGACTCAGTTACACCAGCTCTGTCAGGAGGAATGGGCCAAAATTCACCCAACTTATCTTGGGAAAGCTTGTGGAAGGCTACCCGAAACGTTTGACCCAAGTTAAACAATTTAAAGGCAATGCTACCAAATACTAATTGAGTGTATGTAAACTTCTGACCTACAGGGAATGTGATGAAATAAATAAAAGCTGAAATAAATAATTCTCTCTACTATTATTCTGACATTTCACATTCTTAAAATAAAGCGGTGATCCTAACTGACCAAAGACAGGTAATTTTTACTAGGATTAAATGTCAGGAATTGTGAAAAACTCTGTTTAAATGTATTTGGCTAAGGTGTATGTAAACTTCCGACTTAAACTGTATATATATATATATATATATATATATATACACACACACACACACACAC